GGGGGGGGGGGGTTGGGTTTTTTTTTACATTTATTTTTTATCATTTTTTTTCTCACTGTTGGGGGAGCTTTGGAAAAATATTAGAGGTCTAAACAGACCCCTGACATTTCCCTTTTTGAAATAGAAAAAGAGATTGAGGACACAGAGTCCTTTGCCCATACAGGCGGCGGAGAGCAGCAGGGATCCGAGGAGAAGCTGGAGCCTGTGCCGCTTCTCTTCTCCCTGCCGAGCTGCGGCTGTGTTGGCCGCCTGGTGCCCCTGTAGCTAATGGCACCCTCTGCTCACCATGGCAACAGGGGCAAGGGGGCGCAGCCATGCCGGCCCTGACTGCACCCCCTCTCAGCTGCGCCTGAGGCGAGTGCCTCACTCGCCCCATGGTAGCTACAGCCCTGATATTGCATATTCTATATTCAGTGCACATAGCTGTTTAGTGGATGCAAAACTTGGGAAAAGTCACACTTAAAATTGTGAACCGGTTCAGAAAGGCACCATATGCTTCGGCAATAGGCTAAAGCAACATGCATTGCACCCAATGCCATTCCACTATCAAGATGGCTCACACGTGAACATATAATAGATCTATTCACCCTTTAAATGGGGCTCATAGAGAATCCCCTTAAGATTATAAGACTCAAAAGAGCATCTTAGATGTTCACATCAAGTCAATGAAAAGGGGCATACATAGGCTACATGGCATCCCATTATCATGTTGACTTGCCGGCAAAAAGTTTATCATAGAATGGCAGCATAGAAAAGGATTGTCTCACCAGGGGAAAAAATCTTACCACCTCTAAGTATAATTGCAGAATGGCCTGATTTGAAATATCACCAGGCATGCAAGATAGAGCACATGGTGTGTTAAAAGCACATATATCCTTAACACGTTTCACCTCAACAAGCAGTTTCCTCAGAACATTGTATCATGAGAGACTCATCAGAAGGGCAAGACATAACTTTCTTAGGCTGCAATCATCATATCATATCAAGTTTAACTTGGTACTACACCTTAAATTTTGTCAGAGGTTCTAAACCTTCCCAACCCCGTCTAAAACTAAAAAACTAAACCCTTTAAACTTGGATTACACTCTAAAACTGCCATGTCACTTAGACTGGTATCTATACCATAGCCGGTCTGTAAGCTTGGCTCACAGAGGAGCAGTAAGGAAAAAGCATGTTGCTGGGTTGGACTAAACTTTTAGTTGATACAACAAACATGTTGTATATGTTGTTTGTTTAGATAATTATTAAGTGTAATAAGAAAAAGCCATTTCTTCAGACTAGAATTATTTTGGCATAAGATTTTACAATAGGTTCTTGCTTTTACATAAATGCAAGACCTGACTGTGCACTTTCCGTACATTGACTATCTTGCTGTTACTTGTGTAGATATTTTCATCTGGCTGTGCCTTCCCTTTTTAAATGTGTGGATGTCTGAGTTAGTGCAGCACATTTCTATATTATTCTGGTTCAGTGATTCCTGTCACTTGGTGGCTGCATCAATTATTTTGACTGACTGATATATATTTACAGCAAAGCATCTTAGGAATTCCTGATTTTGAGACTAAGAACACTTTTTTGATGTAAGCCACACAATACCACAAACATTTTCCTAAAAGAACCCCGATAATTATGGTTTTGGATTATCACCTGCAGCCAGCAAACATGGCCATTTTGTTAACGGAGGTAGAAAACTTTTTGGAATTCCATACAATATGCCACTGTGAAGGTTCTGTCCGCTGAGTGGCAGTTTGAAAAACACTTGAAAAGGTCCAACCTACCTTGGTGGAGTTATACCTCTTGCTTCTTTGTTTGGAACTCTTTGCTTTGCAGTCACTAACATGAAGTGGTCACTAAGAAAGGTCCTTCCCAATACATAATTATGTATCTTCACAGCTGGCATTGACACCAGTTTTTCTGAATATCCTCAGAGGCTACTTGATGATCTTGACACAGGTATTTTGTAAGTTGTGTCCTCTTTAGCCCACTCTAGTGTACTCCTTACTTAAAGACCAAAGAATGATTGCACTGGTGGCTACCATTTTTTGAGTTAAACTGGGGCTGAAATAAATGTTAATTCAACTCATAAAATTGAAATGAGTGTATATTATTTTATTTCATAAGAGCCTTGGTATCTGTTGTTATAGCATCTGCAATTTAACTGAAGTAGAATGAGTCTTAAGAATACAAACACGATTTCCAAGCATGTGCTTGTTTACTTAATCCTTCTTTACTGTGGATTTGAAAGTTAACTCATTTTATACTTTTGTTTTTGTACAGAATGACATTACTCCCTTACACGTGGCTTCCAAGAGAGGTAACGGCAATATGGTGAAACTTCTGCTTGATCGAGGAGCTAAAATCGATGCCAAAACAAGAGTAAGTTGACATAGTAATGTAGTTTATGTGTTTTGATCAGATTTTTCATTTTCTGTCTTTGGGGATGACCAAGTATGTGCACGCCTCTCATCTGCTCCTATGTTATCCTAAGTATTTGGCCATAGAATAGACCATGTGGAAACAAAAGAAATCTTTTCCGTGAAATAATTTATTGTGGTGAAGACTCTAAGTGGATCATGATTGCAATCAGAATAGAGATGGAGCATGTCTATGTCTTCAACATGCGCTCTTTATCTGTTCTTGTCATTATGTGTGATAACCTTTTCTTTTGCGACACGCATAGTGAGCATTGCAATATGGAATACACATAAGTCAAAACACCTTCTTATTTGCTAAGTGTATCTAAAGCCATTTATTTTTACATTTTGGATAGGGTTGTAAGGCATTAGAACCCATGCCAGTTTTTTTATGTTTAGATTTTTTTGGTTTAGTTTTTTTTGTGTCTCCTGAAGATTTACTCTATTTGTCTATTGAAAGTAAGGGAAAATCCTATATTTTCGAATCGGAATGACGACTGTTTAAGAGGGAATTTCCCTTTCTTCGAATAGATTTTCTCTAAATTCATTTTGTGTCCGGACAGGAAGTGAAGGTAAATCTCCCCAGTGAGACACAGATAGCAAAAACGAACCTGAGGTTGGTTTTAACACATCCTTACTCTATCCAAAATGAAAAATTAGGTTTTACCATAATGCTAGGTATACACAGATTGTCTTACTGGTCCTGAATAGAACTATGGTAATAAGAACATAAAACGTATTCTTACTCTTTCCAAGACTATAAAAAATGGTTTGATATAGACTTTAAAGCAGCTATTGTGCACAGCATATAAACACATTATGGCCGACTTACCTTAAAGATGATCCTCTCCAGCGCTGTCCAGTCAAAGCTCCCCTCTGTCAACCGCGATTTCATAGTCTCCCGGGCTTCTTCTGGATGTGACGCCTTTAGAGTTTTGATTGGCGGGGCTGGGATAATGTAACTTCTGCTCATGCACACAGGAGTTACTTCATCTCAGTATAGAACCTTGCCGAGACTGTGCAATGAGGTGTGCATGAACACTGACCATTAGGTCAAAAAGAGTCTCTTCTGTCATAGAAAACCCTGTCAGCGTTCTTTTAAAAAATGGGCATAATGGGGCTTAACTTACACTTTAACAACAGCAGTAATAATAATTAAAATATTACAATCAAAAGCAGGTTCTGTTCTACATAACATGGAATTGTGACCATTTACTTGAGTCTTTTCCACGGTGATATTTATAATATACTTCCCCTGTCGTAGTCATTCCAATGTTTAGGGGTTATTTACTGATGTTCATTTAGTTTTTTTTATAACATCAGAATATTCTGCATTGCTTTATAAACAACATTTGACCTGTTCACATACATTTCTGTCTCATCTGAGCTTGCAGTCTAATGTCCCTTTCCCTGTTAAACATATTTTACATGTATTAGGTCAAATTTAGATGGAAGTCAATGAATGTACCAGTAGATAATTCTTTGCCGATTATCTGCTTTTATCTATCTGCAGAACATTGTTCATAAAGCATTGTAAAGTGTGTGGGAAGTAATGTATGCAACCTACGAGTGAATGTTGTCCAGATGTTTAAAAGTAAATCACAGGTGTATGACCCTGACAAGAGAACATGAAACATTAGCCAGCATGGAGGCCTGAGCACCAGTAGCCTTGTTCTCTGCAACCCACATATTAATCGTTAGGTCAGACCTGATTGGCAGCGGTACCAGCTGAATGGAGACCAGCTGGAACCTGTTAAAAATAAGTCTTTCTAATTCCCTGCCAGCTCACTTTGGGAATCCTATACTGCACATTTGGGCCATTGCAGAAAAATCCACGGCACATAGCAACACTACTCTGAGCAGAAAAACTACATGAAAGGTCTGTTTATCAAAAGCAGCTTCAGATATCATACATTTTAATGAGTGCGTCTAGAAGGCAGAAACCTCTTTTGACTGAGATGCTGAATGTGCATTTAGCGTATAACTCACGCATCATGTCTTACGTAAAGCTGATACTGCAGTATTGATTTTTTGGAGAACAGCCAGTCCTTTGCTTTCTGAATTATACATAAATGGACCAGGAGGTGAGATATGTCATGTGAGATTGGACCTATTTCCCCATGTTGGCCGCCTAGTTTGCAGCTCATGCATGTTCGCAGTGGGAAATCTGTGTTTAAGAACAGAAGTTAAACACAAATTTAAATGAGATCTCCAAACAATAGCAAGATATATATGTATACTGTTTTACCTGCCAAACCATTTATCATTTTGTACCGCCAATGTTGTGGTAAACGCATTTTCATTACTGCACAGCCAGGCAAGTAACACCCATACATTTTGATTAAATAATTAATTTTTCTGATTCAGCAGTTCAACTTCCTGTGTCACCTCCCCTTCTACAGCTTCCCTATGGGACAGAAAGCCAGCATCATCATCTAGTAAGCAGTACAGCAGGTTGATCTAGTAAGCAGTACAGCTGACCCAGCAAGCAGTAATGTCACAGCTAAACTTCGGGCAAACAACTACTGTAAATACACAGATGAAATACATATAAGGAAGCTTTTTTTACATGCTAAAGGGTTTGTATTTCTCTCCATTTAGTTCTGAGATTTACACAGCCTGCCACACGGGGCACCCCTTTCTGATTTTCCCTGCCTGTGATTGGATAGTGAAAGGAGAAACAGCAAACCGATGAGTTAATTTCTGTCACTCTGCTCTCTTCTGCCATCAACCTAATAGATCCCTATGCAGATTATTTGTCTGCCAGTCTGAGCTCTGCTGTACAGGCACCGCACACTGCTTTCATTTAATAAACACATTTCATTAATATTAATTAATATAAAGTTCCATTCATTTGTGTCCTTGAGGCTAGGTTCAGACTTTAGCAATACCCGGGACGCACAATCGTGTGCTAGTGCACACAGCGGTTGCCGCATGGCTTAATTGATTTCAATGGGGTTACATCCGCACGGCAATCGCTGAAAAAAGGTACATCTACCTTTTTTTGCGTTACACGACGTGCAGCTTTTGTGTCCGCGATGGTGTTCAATTGCACAGGCAGAATCGCGGCTGTAAACTACGCGATTCGCACGGCACGACTGGGGTGCCATTAGAAAATAATGGCACAGCCAGTGGTTTTGGCTGTGGTGGGCGATGCCGTGACCGCCCGGCAATCCGTGCACAATTGCCGCGCGGCCACGAAACGACCAGATTTGAACCTAGCCTTATATGTGCCTGGAGTTTAGCTTTAAATCAGGAAGCAGGAAAGTGATCTTACTGACTAGCTATCACGTACCTGACTGGAGACTCAGCTGAGAAGGGGGCTGCCCATGCACCTCTTGTCCCACACCTCTGGAAGTAGTGACAGGGGATGTAAGGACAGCGGAGCACAGGTGCCGATACTGGTGGCTGGAAGGTTCTTGAGGAGGCGCTTGAGTGCGTTGGACCAGCTGGTGAATCAGCAGGACCGAGATGACACCGGGACCTCTCGAAACCAGAGCAGGCAACGGGTATGAGGCCAAGGAAGCACTGGCAAGATGCCATTGCTCAGGGTACTGATGGAGTGATCCACCAAGTGGCAGACCAGGAGGGAAGTCATGTTCAAGCCGAGGTCATACACAGGGAGCCATATTTGAGGTGCTGAATCACAGTTCAGGAGCAGGGTCAGGAAATGTAAGCCAGGGTCATACACAGCAGATCAGAGAGCAGAGGTACCGAATCAGGAGGAGGAGGTGAAGTCAAATGGTCACAAGCCAGGTTCATACACAGGACGTCAGGATATAGGAACATATCAGAGTAAAGGGCACACAGGGACAAGCTGAAGACCACTCAGCAACTTGGTCATGGCTTCATGTCTGTTTAAATAGGACAGTGTGCACGCTAATGAGTGTGCACCTGTACGCTAACGAGCACGCTCACGTACGTGAGCTATTGCGCATAAACGTTCCCGTACGCGCGCGTTCACGTGCTAAATCGCGTTTTCCAGGAACTTTGGGCAATGGATTGCATACATGTGTGCGTGCACGTTTTTGAGCAGGAGTCCATCTGCAGGTAAGTCTTTTACACTAGCAGTGGTTGTGTGTATCATAAGAATGGCTGGTCAAAATGATAAATTCTTAGCAAGTAAAGCAGTAAACTTGCTAAAGGATATAAAAGTGGTTCTAGTGCCAATCATAGACATGTATATACATTTCCAGTATCAATAGATAAGTGTTGGGTGGAATGTTGATGTTTATTATGAACCTGCAGTGTATTTTTCTATTAATTTTAGCATGTTAGGACAATGTGGGCTACAAGACATTGCCTGCTGAATCTTTCAGTGATTACAGGAAATGGGCTGTATGTTAGAAAAGGCCATTGCTTGCAGCATAATCTCAGTAATTTTCAGTACTGAAGCACCTGCAAAATGCCCCTATATTTATAGCAGTAGTCTTGTACTTTTAAGCCTAACATAAAGAGAACATCAAGCCTGTATAATAGCATAGACATTTGCTGAATGCAAGTCATTTATGATGCAGAGTTGTCTGTGCACTACCTCTCAGCATCCCTGAAGCTGGACAACAGCATCATCTTCAACGGGTTCAGGCATTTTGCCCATTAGACGACTTAGCCCAAAGTGTTTTCTTTTCCAGATGTTAACCATTTAAATTTAATAAAATATGTCCGCCATGGGGCTCCTTGTAGCACTCTTACTGTAGTAATGGGAACATGCTGCAACGCTGGAAGGTTATAACCACTGACTGTTGACTTAACAAGGTTCATCACCAGAGGGTGACATTAGTCAGAAGCTGTCCTAATAAATATATGTAGAAGATAAAATTGCTCTATCAGTGGGGATTAAAGAAAAAAAGATGGCAGCGCTTGTTAGAATATGGAATATAGAACTCTGAAATGCGCCTAGTTTATTGCCATACTAGAATGACACACTAGGAATGTGATAACAGTAAAATATAATTTTTCACACTATATCAATATAGAGTACAGAAAGAAACAGAGATGTGGGTGCTGTAAAGCACAGATGTGTTCTGATGACACTGAACTGTTAGAGATGGAGTGTCATCCACACCGTTAATAAGATCATTGGTGGTCCCTTTGTTACGAAGATTGTAAACATTTATTGTTGAATATAATTGGCAACAATGTTTGCTTACAGAGAAAAATAAGTTTAAATAGAAAGCAAAGAGTTAAAAAAAAAAAGGAAGTACTGAAAAAAATTTAACATAAAGCCCCATTTTCATAGGTCTTTCTAGATTCATATATGTTATAAACCACTATTGGCCTTATGTATGCCCCACCAGAGCTGTAAATACTTATTTTCACACCATATTAAGCCCTTCAAATCTTTAACTCCATGGTTTGCATCTGATCTTGCAGGCGATGCTTCATAAGCAGAAGTTTTCTTCTTGACTAACAGTGCCACCCTGTGTGTAGATAACTGCTATTACACCATTTTATATATATATGCAGTGATTGATGTGTTCTGGTTTTACTTAATATTTCTGTGTAGTATACTTGTTTTTTTATAGGCAGACATACATGGACAGTGTTTTGGACTGGTTGGTTTATCTTATATAACAGTAGACCCAAATACTACTTGCATGTCTTTGCCGAGTGTACATAGTGCAAGCAGATCACAGACGTTTGCTGCTTCCCGGATTGTTCAGGCCAGGTTCACACCTGTGCGACCCGTGACCGTGCAGCAATCGTGCACAATACCGCATGGATTGCCACCCGGTCAAGGTATCGCCCACCACTGCCAATCGCGCTGGCGATGCCATTATTTTCTAGTGGCACCCTAGTTGTGCCGGGCAGATTGTGCGGTTTCCTGCCGCGATTCTGCCTGTGCAATCGAACACGAAAAAAAAAGCCTTTTGTTGTGCCGCAAAAAAACATGTCCCGTTTTTCAGCGATTGGCGCGTGGATGTAACCCCATTGAAATCAATGGGGCCGTACGGCAATCGCTGTGTGTAACTGCACATGATTGTGCGGTCCTGAGACGCGTGCCCCGGATCGCCCAGGTCTGCACCAACCCACACACCAGTCTCTGAATTACTGAGGATGGCAAGGAGAACAAGACAATATGTTTTGGCTAGATATGGGGCCTACTTAGAAAATAATTAAATCAATACTTGACTTTTTTTCTTTTTATTGGGAAAGTCATATTCCATTATTTTAGACGGGTAATGAATCTGAAGAGGGAACCTCACAATCATGAAGGTGGCAATGTGAGGGATAAAGCAGTAGGCCCCCCAAAAAAGTAGCAGAGGCGCCCAGGTGTGGTAGATGAAGGAGGAGATCTTTTCGTGTGAGATCCAATGATTTTTATTTTATTGGGAAAGGCATATTTCATTATTTTAGAATAAATCTCAAGAGGAAACTCCATGATCATGGAGGTGTCAATGTGAGGGAGGAAGCAGTACGTCCCTGAAAAAGTAGAAGTAGCAGAGGCACTCAGGTGTGGTAGATGAACAAGGAGATATTTCTGTGTGAGGTAAAACAATTTTATTGTATACAAGCATTGTGTGTATGTACAGCAATAAAATCACCTTAACCAATTATCTCAAAATTGTGATTTTGAAACTTCTTCCTGTTACCAAAATACAGTAAGGCCTGGAGCTATGGAAAGCAGAGGAATGAGCGGAAGGCCTGCATGACAAGGCTGGGAAGGGGAACGAGGACAAGAAAGGGTTAAGGAGGGATAGAAGAAAGGGTATAGAAAGGTCACCAAAGTTTGGTGTTAATATTGTTAGTATGTTATTTAATGTTATTTATAAGTGTTTTTAATAAAAGGCTGCCGTGGCCATTTAAATTCCCATTGTTGTGTGGTGTAGTTATTGGGAAGTGGGTAATGTAAAAGGGACCTCTGAGCTACCTAAGTCATGCACTCAGATAGGTCTTCCTGGGGCCCTCTGTCTTCTTTTTCATTCTCTGTCTTTTTTGAGCTTCTCTTCGGTAAGGGGGCAATGTGTTCATCTTCAGCATATTAGTTCTCTTTCGCAGTTTCTTTTCTCTGCAATTTGCTGTTCTGGTTTACTGACCAGATATCAAAGTGAACTATTACAAAGGGTGCCAAAATAAAAGTTAATAGAGATAAACAGCTTACATGTCGCAAAAGTCTAAAAAACAATCCTTGACTCAATTCAACACAATTCTTGTTTGTATTACTATTTGCATTTGCTAACTAGAAACAATATGCAGAACTTTTTTTCTTGATCAGCCCTAATGAAGGGAATGAATTACCCCTGATAAATTTTGCTTATTGGTTATCTGACATACAACCCAATAGTGTGTCCACTTTTGCAAGTGTCTGGCATCCTGTTTGCAGATCATTCGTTTTCAGTGCGGTGTGGTTATTTTCTGCATCTCTGCTCACAGTGCTGGATAGGGAAAGCAATCTACTGCAGGTGTTGGGGATGTAGGTTATATATTGGGTTAGTGTTATGGGGTGTTATTTAAACCATAAGGACTTGTTCACATCGTGTCTGTTGAGCTACCTTTTTTCTGCAAACAACCACACATGTATGGTGTTAATAGGGCACATAGAAAACAATTGTTTTCTATGTTCCCTGTTCACACCATGCATTTGTTTAAACCAGTTCACACCAGGTCCTAGGATTAGCCTCCCATTCTAGGGATGTTTTACTTTATATTTTTGATTGTTAAAAATATTATAAAAGCGAGCTAGCTTATTATAGTATAGTCAGTGTTATTTGTATAGTGCCGTGCTTATATCTTGTTACTGCAATTACTTCTATGCGTATTCTAGTATGTTGAATGAGTAAACAAATACCTTTAAGGATATTGCATAACACACTTTAATGCTTTCTACAGCCATCATCCTTGTTTTAAGAAAGTTGCCTAAAGTGAATACTCTGGAGGGAACATGCATGAGTTGGCACACTGGAAGATGGTTTGCCAGCTTCAAGGTCATATAAAAGTACACATAGCTAAAACTGCTTATGGGATTAAGTGCATGTGAAAAGTTGCTTCTGAACCCTTCGTACTTCAATAACTAAACACTTTCTGCTTTTCTAGGATGGTCTGACACCTCTGCATTGCGGAGCAAGGAGCGGCCATGAACAAGTTGTAGAAATGCTATTGGACAGAGGAGCTCCTATTCTTTCCAAAACCAAGGTTTGTGCAATTATCTACAAAATAGAAGCAAAAGTACAACTCTGTATGTATTGAGGGTTAAAAAACTGTTCTAGGAATACTGCAGCTTTGAGATAATGCTGCCTTAACCCCAGAAATGATAATGCTCTTGTGTACACATGGCATCTTTTCATCAGGCATGTTACCTAATTATTTGGAGAACATTTAGATGAGAAAGTAGAGGCAGTGTGCTGTCTGCTTTTTCTCCAGAGCAAATGCCACCAGTTAAAACCCTGCAGGGAAAGGGATGGTGACAGTATGTTACAGTTACTGACAGTCATGTGACTTCTCTCAGTAGCCCCTTCATCCCTTGCCAAATTGGTTCTGCTGTTGAATGCACCCAAAAGTTTCCAGGGTAGACCAGCTATAATAAAAGAAAGGTAATCAAAATGAATCATGCACCACGGGCCAATGGAGTACCATATAGTAAATCCTGTCCTGGTTGTCTGATAGCTTGAAAGGATGTTATCCAATTATTCCATATAGGATAAAAGGCCCCATTTACTAATCTATGACTCACGTGTCATTTGCCATCATGAGTGTTATTTCCAGCCATGTGACAGTAGTTTCCTCTTTCATCAGTTGTCATTGCTGGAATTAGCAGTTGCTATGGCAAATAACAGCTGTTAAATCTTAATAATTAAAACTTAATCTTGGAAATTTTGGGACAGTTGGAGTACACAGTGTCAGATGTCAGTGATGTTTCTCTTTTGGCAACTTCAAACCCCTGACCACAAATGTTATGACTGTGAATGTTCGCACACACAATGTAAAAGAAGTGTATCCTACAAGTTCTTGTTTGTTTTACAGGTGAAACTCGAATAATTGGAATATCGTGCAAAGTTCATTTATTTCACTAATGCAATTTAAAAGGTGAAACTAATATATAAGGTAGACTCATTACATGCAAAGCAAGATAGTTCAAGCCGTGATTTGTCATAATTGTGATGATTATGGCTTACAGCTCATGAAAACCCCAAGAGCCCCAAATCCACAACCTCAAAAAAGTAGATTATTACATGCAATCAATAAAACAAGGATTGTACAGAACAATATCGGACCTCTGAAAAGTACAAGCATGCATATGTACTCAGTACTTGGTTTGGGGCCCTTTTGCAGCAATTACTGCAATTACTTTTGCATGATATTCTAATTATTCGAGTTTCACCTGTATATTTCCATGAGAACTGAAAAAATGTAAATGTTGTCACTCCAAGCCCAGAGTGACATGAAGCCAGGTCTGAGAGTATACAGTTTGTTGTTGAACATATGATATAAAAAGCTTAAGATTAGAATTTCGAAAATCTAATGACAGATTATGATATGGAGAATTTAAAATATCAGAACATGTCACATTTAACATATCACATATGTCTTATTTGATATGACAGCCTTGTTTAATTTTGTCATTTTTAGCATAGGTGTACATAGGTGGCTGGAAACCACTGCCGCAACAGGTGCTGAATTGCCCTCTTGACTGTGGCTTTGATAAATGCAGTGGAAATTGTCTGCATGGGGCATTCAGCATTTGCCAAAATTGTCAGTCATGGGTTTGTACCTTGACATTTTGCTCGTAGGGTTTAGTGAACCCTAAAAACTATGAATGGGAGAGCTGCTGTAGCACAGTTAAAGGCCAAGGGATCAGGGGTCTCCCGCTGCCCATGTACACATGAATCAGGATTCTCACCTATGGAAAGCAGAGCAAATGGAAATAATTTGGTGAGAGCAGGTAAGCAGATTTCTGCATATTAAGCTTAAAGGAGCAAACACACAGTTAGTGCCGACGTGTGACAATGAAACTGTCACACCTCGGCTCAATAGATCGGGAAGTGAGCGAACACATACCGTTGCTTGCACACAACGGACGGGGAGGGTACAGCTCTCTCTGCCTCTAGATAGGCAGAGTCAGCTGTCATTCACGCAGCTGTGTGGATCTCGACAGCATTGTCCCAGCTGCGGCGGTCTCAGTATACCGCGAGCTGTAGCTTGCGATATACTGAGCTTTGGGTCACGGGAGGATGCTAGTATATGTCCTCCCGTGACCCTTAAGAGAACTATGGGGAAAAACACTTACCCAATAGTTCTCTTTTAAAATAGAAGCTAAGCACTGGTTGCTTTGAGCAGCCTGGCCACTTTAGCTTTGCTTTAGTTGCATACATGAGTCTCAGTAACTCAAAACCAAATGGAGTAGTTGCAAAGGGATTTATTGTGTTTTCCATTGCTGACTTGTTTTTGACAGTGCTAGCCTTGGGGCTGTCATCCTCCTTTTTTCACTACTATGTGAGTCACTGACCTGGAACAAACATTTGTACATTAGGTGGCCCAACACGGCATGCATTTTCTGATTCGGTATTAAAGAATTAAAGAAAGGGTAAGGATGATAGCCCAAATATTACATTACTATTAAAGCTTAAAGCTAATAATAGTTGTACACAAGTCCTTCATTTGTTTTTTTTTTACAAACTGTGCAGAGGATTTCATTATTGTTTATAAATGAGTTAATAGATGGGGTGATAACATTTGACTATTCACACATAAAGCCATACAAAAAATCGTATTGTTCTCTGTTGAAGACCTACCCATGTATGGCAGCCCTAAGGCTAACATTTCCTATGTTCAAATGTTTGTGGGAAAGTCCTTCCAGTTTAAATCTGTGCCTGCATAAGTGGAAAGGAATGTAAGCTGTGCTAGCTGCATATTATGTCAGTAGATAATTTACTATATCTCAAGCTTGTATTTCCTCGGCATTCCATGACTGTGTATATGTAGATAAAGCCCTGAGTTACAAAATCCTGAATCTGATGCGATAGGATCCAGGCCTGGCTTATTTATGTCATAGACAAGAAATCACTGCTGTTGTGTGTGTCATTATCTCATGTGACTCTATGCCTTGCAAGTTGACAAATGTTTAAATATTTGTAGATTCCGGTTAACCCAGTACAAACTGGTTTTTAATAGGGATGCATGATATACAATTTGGAAAACCAGTTGAGCCTGAACTGTACTGCAGAATAATCACATTGTTTAACTGACTTAGGACTAATGTGTCCTAAAGTGCTGACAGACTGAGATTTTGTATATGGCTGAAAAAAAACCTGTGTGTATTTAAAGCGACCCATATATACTGGGATAGCATTGTTCAGAAATAAGTGATTGGAGGAGTCTCATCGTACCCAACATGCCATCTACTTAATATTCATAGCCCTGCAGATAGGCAGTAATAGGAAGAGGTGGGTTGTAGCTACTCATCTGCTGAGATAATTAGAACAATCTTCTACTGACACTGGACTCCCACTTTCCATCAGTTTGATAGGTTACGCTTCATATATGAGAATAAAATAATAGGACTGTGCCAAAAAGTCAACCAGTTGAAGGAAGCGTGTCAGGACAGAATAATGGGAGATACCATTGCTAACTTCTTTTTCTTTTTTTTTTTCTTCCAGGCTGTCATCCTTATTTTAGCTTCCCTTTTTAGTTAGTTAGTGAGCTAGATTTAGCTGATTGCAGTCAGTGAACAAAAAAAACTGATATAATCCTAAGAAAAACTGATGATAGACCTGGAAATTGCTCATTGAAAAGAAAGTAATCAGTATTAGCAGCCATATTTCTATCCAGACAGACCTAATAAAAATAATACAGCAGGGAGCTGGAAGTATTCTCTGCCACCGGGCAGTTCTTCATAGAAAGGGGACCAGTAACTTCACTTTGTATGCACAGCAGTCAAATGTCACCGGAGTAGGTGGGCGGCTAGGAGAAGTCTGAAGTTCAGCAGTTGGGATGAGAACAGTAAGATCTGTCCTTGTCAACAATTTCCCCCATGGTGCATGCTTAATAGCCCTACATTTACTCTTAAATCTTTTACTTAAAACTGATTTACTTTAAAGCTAAACTTCAGCCAGATATTAAAAACACTATTAAAACAAGTATACATTCATTAAAAAATGAATAATTGTATTTTTAAACAAAACTAACATTACTTTATATCTGTTTTGGCCATCTGTAATCCCCTGTACAGCAGGATTACTGGACAACCCAGTCACAGCCCCATTGCCTTGCATGGTGCTAGGGTGTTAGTCCTAAACCAGGGTATATTGCTTAACTATAATCTGATATTAGGTCCAGGACTTGGCTATGCAGTCTGGTAAGGTTGCCTGGATCATAGGCTTTCTGGTCAGAATAACAAATTTGTTTGCAGGTAAAATAATTCACATATAAGTTTTTAACTGTGTATTTAGATGCTTCACTGGAGGCCATTGTTAACAATATATCAAATGTTTATAATTTGATATTATATTTAGTTGAATTTTATTTTGTTCAGGTAATCAAAAAATTTAGCAAAGACTACCAAGAAAAAAAATAGTTTTCAGTGGTCAAATGTGAGTCTGCTAAGCCTAAATAAGTAAATAACCTGCTCTGTGTGTTGTTTGGACAGCATTGTGGGAAACCTGAAACCTGTCTGTCTGAGCTGTCGCTGACTCTGTCTGTTTGTTTGCAGAATGGTCTGTCACCGCTGCACATGGCAACCCAAGGAGATCATTTGAACTGTGTTCAGCTGCTGCTCCTACATAATGTGCCTGTGGATGATGTCACTAATGACTATTTAACAGCGCTGCACGTCGCCGCCCACTGTGGACATTACAAAGTCGCTAAAGTCCTGCTGGATAAGAAAGCCAACCCAAACGCCAAAGCACTGGTATAAGCCAAATTGTATTCTTTCTGTGTGTTATAATTATTGCTTCCACCTTTGTAAGATGCTGAGAAAAAAATGCACTAGCCACAGCACACATGTATGCAATGCAAATGTAAAATGTATATATCCTCTATTTAACTATATATTTATATAATGTATGTAATGAACGGATATACTGTCATACTGTAAGGTAAAACTCTATGGTTAAACATTTACTAACTGCTAGTAACATTACAGTAATGAATGGAACTCTGGGTTGAACACCATCTTTTGTGTGTCGTATTTGTGGTAAAGTAACATGTTGTACATAACAATTCAGGCTTAGGCAACTTTGATCAGTATGATCTGGGAGTGGTCAGGCAATGGACCCAGCCTTTTGTTTTTTTAATCCTTTATCCAGGCCATTTCAATCCTTTATCTCCCACACTGCCTTGTGCTACATGTTACATGCAGTTGGGCTCCAAGCCATAGGAAAGACTGGCAAAGTACAGGAGAGGGCAGGGATGCGGGTGGGACTTTAGGCAGGAGGCGTGGAGCTGTGAGGGAGTAGTTAAAAACGCTGTGTACTAGTGTTTTAGCATAGTGCTTCTAGATGTGAGACTACAATGGGAGATATTAGGAAGGCAGAATAAAATGTGGACACAGGCATACAGAAAATGTATGTGACTGTGGTTCTCAGCCTCTATTCAAATGTATTTATGGAGACTAAATGGACATAGAAATTTAAAGATATCGGGAGAGAAATGTTGAAATGGCATGCTAAAGCAAATATGACATTTTTGTTTCAAGGCTTTAGTGACACCATAAAGCACTCTAGTAGTAGGGAAGCATTCTGGGAACTAGGAGTAGGGAAGCAGTGGGCAGTTATGTAAGATATCGGTTTTGGAAGGATATAGCCTTTAAAATATGAAATAAGTTGCTTTGGCTGCAGTCTGCAAACGTTAAAGTAATATTTTGAACACAATTTTTGTTTTTATGTTACATAAGTTAGAAAAGAATGCAATCAACCTAAGATATTCCAACTTTGTTGAAGCTGATATGTCCCGTCAGTCTGAGACTTTCTTCCTCAGTGCATGCACTTCTCTTGTCACGTTCTACAGTGTGTGATTTATTATTTAAGCCTGCCTGCTGTGACTTCTTTTTAACTATGAAACATTACAGCAGATCCTGTACATTCCTAGTTATATGGCTTTTCTTGTCACTGGAAGGAAGTCTGACTTATCCGCCATAAAATAAAATATCTGTTTTGGGTTAAATAGGACCGTCATGGTGTATACCCTGTATAGCTCATTGTATATCCTGTATATCTCTTGGTACACTCTTAATCACCTGAGTCACATCTAGGGGTAGAAACTAAAGTGTTACACGTTTCTCTGAGTTACTGGCAGCTGTGGTATTTGATACAAGGCTTTGTGTATCTGTGTACAGAATATATGACCTGGTGGCAACTTCAGAAGCTGGCCAGCCTCAGTCCCCTGTTAAAGTTAATATTAGGGATGCACCGATACTGGTATTTCGGTATCAAGTACGAGTACCAATATTTTTTTTCCGGTACTCACCGATACCGAGTATCGGAAGTCCCATTCAGGAAGCCAGGCGCCGTGTAATGACTCGCCACCTGACTTCCTGATTAGCAGGGAAGCCATCCCCATGCTTCTAGTGGTCACTAAGTGATGAGAAAACATGGAGCCGGCATTCTGGCCAATCAGGAAGCCAGCTCCATGCTCACTCGTCATCAGGTGACGAGGGAACATGAAGCTGGCTTCCCGACCAATCAGAAAGCTGGGCGCCGCATCTTTACATGGCGCCTGGCTTCCATGTTGGCCAGCTTCCGACCAATCAGGAAGCCGGGCAGCGTGTCATTACAAGTGACGAGAGAGCATGGAGCCGGCCTCTCGGACAATCAGGAACACGCTCTCCGGCTTCCTGATACCGGAAGTATCGGGCTAGGCATCTGAGCATTTGGTGGAGTACGGGTACTCGCCACTGATACCAATACTAGTATCGGTATCGGTGCATCCCTAGTTAATATCTTGTGGTCTTGTGGATCTTTTCTTTACTGTGGTAAGCACTACAAATAAAATGTGAAAACACATCTTTTTAGTTGGGTAAATATTGGATATTGCATATATTTTGTATTCTCATTTTTAGCCATAGGGTAGCCATTTAAGCTGCCCCTTTATACATTTGTTTCAGTTTCTTCTTATCTTGTGGTACAAAAAAAAGCCTATGTACAGAACTTAACATCTCAAAGTGACATTTTTTGGCAGAAATTACTATATGCTGTGACCCATCCCCCCCTGTTTATCCTGCTTGATTGAAGGTTTCAATCAGAAACAGAGGGTCTGAAAGCAAACGGCTTAATCTATGTTCTCTCTTTATAAAACCCTTAGTGCTCTAAGAATTATGTGTCAAGGATGTACCTGTATTCAATGTTTATTTGTAGAACAAAGATGTACAACCCTTGTTTTACAAATAAACGTATATAGTTAAAAACAAAGATATAACACAAACAATACCCCCAGGAATCCAACACTGCTTGTTTTTGGTACAGGTGTCAGCACTGATCCTGTTGGACGGTGGCCCCCCTGTCCCCTGCCCGCTCACACATAAAATAAGAAGCCCCCCTGTTCCCTCCCTCCACACATAAAAAAAGAAGCCCCCCTGTTCCCTGCCCCCCACACATAAAATAAGAAGCCCCCTGTTCCCTGCTCCCTCACACATAAAATAAAAAGCCCCCCTGATGTTAGAGTATAGGGTAAGGTTAGGGTGGCGGTTTAAGGGATTTTAGAGAAATACCTGAAGCTCGAATCTTGTTGAAGAAAATTAAAATACCGTATCCTATGGAATCAAGAGGATAGCCGGTAAGAAGTTGCCTCCTGATCAATAACTATTTTGCCCAATTTTTTGATGGTTGCCCGTACCAAAAGGTTACCCCCCATTGCCTGTGAACACTGTAAGTAAAATATATCTGTTACTTTTCAATTCACATTAGAATCTTGAAAATGGCTACAAACACCTGATTGGTGGGCATGTGCTATACTGCTTTCACATGCCGGTTGCATTGTGTAATGGATTATGTTTTACATGCGTGGGAAAAACATTTATTTTCTCCCATCTATAATTTACAGCCAATTAAAAAGGAAATAAACTTTCCTCATAATTTGTAAGTGTCACCCCCTCCAGACACTGTCATCCAACAACCTGTCATCTTGTTTTATTAGTTTATTTTCCTTTTGTAGCTTGTTAAAATACCAGTTAATGAAAGATTGGCTTTTGGAAGATCCAGAAGTCCTTATCAGCAGGTTGCCTTGTGGTTCTATTCATGTCAAATCAACCCAACAAAGCCTGGATATTGAATAAAAGAGACACATTGCACTTATAAAACCTTAGCGTCTCCTACTGACAGTGTGAACCAAAGAAAATTACTCTTCCATTTGTCCTTTTTGTGACTTTCCTGAGAGATCTAAAAGTATTTTTTTTCTCTTTTTGTTTCGTGATCCAGTCTAAAGCGTTAAAAGACCCATGGCAGTTAGTACATTCTAGTTAACTTATCACAGATAGGATTGCAAAGCTTAACATTAATATTGTATGTTAAGTGAAGATTAAATTACCACGTACAGTTATGTAGAGTTGCAAACACCAATATTAAATAATGGTAGACTACGTTATCATAGATAATTAAAAACCACCTAAAAAATGTGACTATACTTGTTAAAGAGGAACTTTACCCATATGTTTGAAATTAAAACAGACATCTTTCGAAATATTTAGTAATGACAATCTTCAAACAGATACTTCTAGATAATTGCCGACTTTTTATTCTTTGCATATCTTTTTTTTCTTTTCCTCCCTATTCTTCTCACAGTAGCTATTTTTACTAAGGGCAGATTAATATATCTCTCTTTACTTCCTGGAACTCTGGCACATGTGACTAGGGCATGTGACCATACACATCATCTCAGGGGAGGAAAATTCCTCTCTCTCTGAGATCTCATGAGATTAGAGATGAGATTTGCCAGCAATGCTCTGCCTATGTAATCTTCCCAGGATGCAATGCTTGGGCATATCACTCATTGTAAGTAAAATAAAAATATGTTTACTTAACTAATGAATATGAGATAATTTCATATCAGCATGCAGAGCTGCATGCTGATATGATTTTTAGTGAAAGGTTGTATAGGTCCGCTTTAAGTACTAATTGATCAAGTAATTTGTTGTTGGGCAAACTGCTAAACTTCCAGTATATTGCTGTTGTAAATCAGATTTCAAGTACTCACAAATAGATAGTAGTCTGCATTAAAGTGTCACAGTTTTTTATTCCTTTCAAGTCCAGATTTATTATTAGGCACAACAGGCTTGTGCTTATATGCAGCATAGGGAAATAGGCAGCCTTTCCCTTTGCATTTATAGACTACACATGTTTTTCCATCATTGGTAATAATACATTAGCCTCCTATAAGCTTATGTATACATTGTCATAATGTAAAGCTTAGCTCGAATAAAAAAGTTATATGCAGAAGAGGTGACCCTACCAGAGGAGGGCTGCTTTTGGTGCCAAAGGTTATTTATCTACAACAAGTTGAGTCTTTTGTTGCCTCAGTAAAATTATGGTTACCACAATTACTGATGCTATGTAGCAGGTGTGGTTGCAGCTCATCTACGATGTCATCAACGATTTGCCCGTTCCAAGCAATAAAATCACGCTAAGATGAACTGAGATAAATAAAATAGCCACAACTAGGAACAGTGGAAACAATATAACTAAAACAGTCCAGCCTTGCAGCTCTGTGGAAACAGAGGTGAAAAACACAATATGGACAAGAAAACAAGAGCACAAAAGTGCACTGACATAGTGTAGTACTTCAAAAAACTTTAAAGTCCTTAATGACTGGTAGGATCCCCAGTGATTGGCGGAGGGCTACGGTAGTCCCAATATTCAAAAAGGGGGCAAGGTGCCAACCTGGGAACAAATAGTCAATAAAATTAATTTGTATTATGGC